CGGCCCGGGCCAACCCGGTCCAGGCCGATCCGGTCCGGTCCGGTCCGATCCGGTCCGGGAGGCGGTGGTGCCGCCCGCGAGCCGTCGGGATCGCCTCCCCGCAGTCGCTGTCTGCAGGGATGCGGTGGGAGCAGCATTGCTGCCGACCGAAACATTTTACTGATCAAGTCTGAGTGTTTTTATTATTATTATTTATTTCAAGGAGAGTTGGTTTAACTGTGGGTATTGTTCGCACTGCAAAAAAAAACAAAAAGCAAAAAAAAAATATTTTCAGAAGTCGGTTTGGGTGCTCAGAGCTGTTTCTGGAGCCCACGGGGTTCTCTTGGCCTCAGTCTTCAGGAATGTAATGATTTATTCTCTTATATTTTTAACTGGAAAGAGAAATGCACATTGCGACAGAGAAGAAAAGCGACCCCAGTTTTAACATTGGCTTCAGAGGCGCTGTCGTCTCTGCACGGTTCATGGCTAAGGTTGTCTCTCATTTGCTTTAGGAGTAGCCCCGATTCAGCTTCTAGCTCAAACAAACAGGTTAGCTGGCAGTCTCAGTCTCGTGGCTTTCACAAGCCTGTCTGATGCTGTATTAACTTCATTATTTCGTTTTCTGTGCATGGAGTTTTCTGGGTTTGGGGGGTAACCCGGCTGCTGTCCAACTTGCTCCTTTTGGCTGCCGCAGGGACAGCTTGGGACATCTTTTCTCCTGGCAACCTGGTGTCACTTTTAGAGCTTTCTCCGATACCTGTCGGATCTCAGGAGTCTCTTTTCAGTATTGGGAGATGCCAAGTTTTCCCTGCCCGTTTTGCCACGCTGACTGATCTCCTCTGTTTTATTTTGTCTTATTTTTTCCAGGCACCGGATGGCAGGAAGGCAGCCTGTCCTTCCCGCTAAACGGGCCCACGCTTCCACACCAGCATCGGCAACGGTGCTGGATTTGTGGAGCCCGGGTTTGTTGCTGCTGTTTGGGCGCCGCAAGGGGTGCAGGGCTGCAAGGAGATCCTCGAGGTCTCCAGCTGTGGTGAGTGAAGCAAGGACAAGGCTTCTAGCAAGGCAAGGAGGTGCCCTTGCAGGCAGGCGGGTGATGGGGGAAGAGGAAAGGCAAGGAAAAGGAAACGTTTCTTAACAGTGAGGGTGACAGAGCACTGGAACAGGCTGCCCAGAGAGGTTGTGGAGTCTCCTTCTCTGGAGATCTTCAAACCCACTTGGACACAGTCCTGTGCCACGTGCTCTAGGTGACCCTGCGTGTGCAGGGGGGTTGGACTAGTTGACTCTAGAGGTCCCTTCCAACCTTAAGCATTCTGTGATTCCATGGTGACGTTTTGTCCACGCCAGGAGTGCTTGGCTGGATGTGATCTAAGTGAAATGGGAGAGTCAAGTCGAACACCACAGGGTGATGGGGCAAAAGAAACCCTCCTGGCACCGCTGAGAGCGGCAGGGAGAGCTTTCAGGCCGTGCTCTTCTTGCAGAGCCTCGGTGGCAGCGCGGAGCAGCGGGTGAGCCCGCGGACAACGCGCTCATGGTCCCCGGGAGCAGCATCCAGCACGCGGCTGTTGCCTCCTGTGCGCGCAAACTGCAGTGCCTGCGGTGAGGGCACGGCCTCGCGGCACGAGCGGCCGTGTCGGGGGTGCCCGCGGTGACTCTCAGCCCGCCGTTCCCCCAGGATCCGGGTGAGGCAGATCTCCAGGGAGAGGGACAGAGCGAGGCTGGAGCTGGAGGAAGCCGAGCGACGCTGCCTGCAGCTCGTGGGGCAGGTGGATGAGCACCGCGCCGCCCGCGAGGACAGCCAGGGCAGGCTCAGGTAGGAGGAGGCCTTTAGGTTGGGCAGGGAAAGCCGTGGGTGCCTCTCCCTCCCAAAGCAAGTGTGTCTGCCTGCAGCTCCCTTGTATTTTGCCACTCTATCAGTGCAAGAAATACTTCTCCCACAGGCACAACACCCCCCCAGCCAAGCTCTCATCTCCTACTTTGGGAGGAGAATGTCTGGACTTTGTGCCCAGCTATGAACACGTCTCTGGGTGCCCAGAGCTTGGTGCTTGTCTATTCCAGGAAAATTCAGACTGAAATGAAGGCAAAAGACCTGCTTTTGCAGCAAGCCACCCAGCGCCAAGCCAAGCTGGAGGCCGATGCACAGCTCCTGCAGGGCAGAGAGGCCAACCTGCAGGGACGACTGAACGTCACGATGAAGGTAAAACTGTCCTAAATGAAACATCTCTGCTCCAGAGGAGGCAAGGCAGAGGTGGTGACAAAGAGGCATGGCCTCTCCTTGCTCTTGCTGCAAGGCCCAAGGGCTTGATGCAGAAGAATCATCAGCCACATCCATACTAGTGAATTAGTTGTACAGTCCATTCCCTGGCCCTGCTGTTACTAAATGAGGGTGACAGAGCACGGGAACAGGCTGCCCAGAGAGGTTGTGGAGTCTCCTTCTCTGGAGATCTTCAAACCCGCTTGGACGCAGTCCTGTGCCACATGCTCTAGGTGACCCTGTGTGTGCAGGGGATTGGACTAGATGACCTCTAGAGGTCCCTTCCAACCTTAAGCATTCTATGATTCTATGAAATCCTGTGGTTGCTTGGTGGGAATGGTTCCTGGCACCTGGTAACAACCAGGCTAATGGCTGAGGTTGCAGCTGTGCCAGAGACCGTGCCAAGAGCACAGGCAACATCTCAATGCATGGGGTGTTCTCAGTGCTGCTCAGTGTATTGCTGTAGATGGAGATGGTTCGAGACTTGCTGCTTGTATTGACTGTGAGGGAAACTGCACTTCTGTGAAGCAGAAGTGCTTTGATCCAGCTCTTATCCTGCAAAACCCACTGAGATACTTTGGAGAGATGAGCTAAACCCCGTCACTTGCAGCCTTTGTCAGCCCCGTGCTGCCCAGAGTGGGCTTTTCTGCATCTTGATCAGCCTGTTGCTTTACAACTCCCTACTGAGGCCCTGTGGCCACCAAACCTGCCCTCCAACCCAAGGGCTTGCAACATCAACAACTTCTCTCTTTTATCTGTAGGAGAACACGCAGCTTCAAAACAAGATCATGAACATGTCTGAAAAGCTGTCAGCCACTGAAAAGCTGGTGTTAGAGCTGCAGAAAGAGCTTGACCTTGTTACAAAGGACAAGGTGGCCCTTCTCTGTGTGATGTGTCTCAGTAGACTCTTTTCAGCAACTTGTCAAAAACCTGATGTTTTTATTTTCCAGAAAGTCCTGTGTGTTCCATGTCCATTCTGGTTCCCCCCTGAATTGAATTTCCCCATGCCTTAAAGACAGTCTGGAATAATGGCTTTTAAGTTTGGATGTTCTAGGATCAAATGAAAAAACATGAGGAAAGTTTGCAAGTGTAGAAAATTCTACAAATCTGAAGTCCAAAGTACTTCAGGGTTTGTCTTCCAGACTTTCTTTTTCACAAGAGTTGAGGTAAAGGATCAATTCTGGTGTCTTGCACTTCAGCAAGGTACCTGGTAAAATGGATGTGGGAAAAGTAACGAGCCTGGGATCTTGGTGGGCAGCTTGGGAGTGTGATCCTGCCTGAAACTTAATACTCCTTGCATGTGAAAAAAGACTTTTTTACCCGTTTCTGTGTTGACCCACCTCTCAGTTGTCAACAGGAACCCTTCCATTGAGTCACTGAGAGCGGGTTTTGCACCTAGTCACGATTCCAGCAGTTTGGGAAGGCTGGTGACTGCCTGCTGTGGTGATAACCTCCATGATGAGCAGTGTCTCCTTGTCCTTGTGCAGCGAGGCCAGGCGGAGCCGCGCAGCGCCGAGTCCCCGGACCAGCGCGAGCGCTTCGCGGAGATCGTCCTGGAGTACGAGCGGCAGTGCCGGGTACGCGCGGGCAGCCTTCGGGAAGCGCTGCCGGGAAAACGCGGCCGTCGGCATCACGTCGGGCAGGCTCCGAGGGTCAGAGCGGGGCGGAGGGCAGGATTTCTCCTGCATTCCCTGGCCCAGAGCCCTCTGCCTGGGCTGGGGCACAGCCTGGCCCTCTTGTTGCCACACTTGCCCATGGCCAGGGGTTGGTCTCCATGCTGGCATCCCAGGGTGGGTTGTAGGTTGCTCCTTTCCTGCCATTGCAGGGCCGGGGGTTGTTTCACTTGGGGGCTGTGTGGTTTTGGTGCAGGGACACCCCAGGCCGTGTTGCAGGGAGTTCCTCTCAAAGGCAAGGAGGGCTGCATGGGGTTGCTTCCTTGCAAGGCGGGTTATGAGCTCAACTCTTCTGTGTCTTTCCCTTCTTGCTCCCACTTTAACACTTCCCCCTGAATCCGGTGCTGCTAGAGAGTCAAGGTGAGCCCGCCCAGGTACCCGGCGTGTGTGTGGTGCCGGCATTGGTGTCCTGTGTGCTGCATCCCCTGGCTCCGTTTCTCCTTTCGGCTTCTCCATTCGGACTTGCTGGGCACTTTGTGCAGTGGTTCCTGGGCATGCAGAGCCCCACGTTTAACACTTTGGCCACATGTTTCCAACCGCTATGTGTGATTAGAGAGCACCACCTTACACAGGTGGCCAAAGCTCCCAGCAGGGACTGAAATCCGTGCATTTGGCACAAAGCCTTTTCATGGAGGCAACAGGCAGCCTCTCCTGTTAAAGGCGAATATACAGGAGTGCCACCCAGCATGGCATTGCTCCTGGGGGCACTGGAGGGTGAGAGGCACTTGATTCTACATCTTTCCTCCTTCTGAGCAGCTCCACGGGTGTCTGTGCAAACACTGGTGGATTCGTCTTGCCCTGTGAAGGCACCCGCTTGGTTTTGCCCTTTCCCCTTTCTGGCTGCTGATGTCCTTAGGATCTTTGAAAGTTCCCTAGATCATAGCCTTTCTTTTGCAGGTGATGGTGTGTAGGCTATGGCTTGATGTCTTCCCAGTGTGGACGGTCCTTTGGGACCCGCTCCACCTCAGATCCTCAAAAATCAAAATCCCTTGGGTTTTTCTTTGCCTACATGCAGTGTCGCTGCTCCCGAGCCCTGGGGATGCCCACATGGGTCTCTGGGCCCCCAGGGGAGATCCCAGCATTTCTGCTGCGTTGGCCACTAGAGATGGCCATGTCCGAAGGGCTCTGTGGAGGTTCAACCCTTCCAAGTGTCTGCGGAACTCCTGTCACTGCTGCCTGCGTGGCTCTTGCCCCTAACACATCCAAGGAAAAGGCGACAGCGCCTGGGTTTGTTCTTGTACCAGTGGTGGCCACGGCAATCGGGCCTGGCGTTGCCCTGGCCGCGCTGGGACCCGTCTCTGCCGCAGGTGCTGTGG